TTGATCTCCTTAATACTCTGTAAATGTTCCTCTTATGACACACTCAAACCAAAATGATTCAGAGTGCAATCATTTTTTTTGATTTGGATATTTCATTGAATAGTATATGAAAAAACTTATCAATTCCTCTCTAAAGTTATCTGTGTTTTCGTCCATTATTACAAACTAATTAATTATTGGAGAAGAACTCGTCTCTCACTCATTATTCGTCCGTGACCTACTTTTCATTGGAGGCTCTTCCATTATCTCAAGTACTAAATTTTCTACACTCATTTTGCTTATTTTCTGCAGGGTAATTTATTTGAGAAAGAATTAATACCATTCCTTTCTAGCAGCGTGTTATAATATTCCTTTTGAGAGCGAGGATATTACAAGCTGGGCCCGACACTATACGGAAGAAATGGGGAGTTAAATGCCTGGCATAATAAGAAAAGGGGTCATGCTCGACATAACCTATGTAAAATATAATAATAATAATAATAATAATAATAATAATAATAATAATAATAATAATAATAATAATAATCCTTCAATGGCCAACATTCTATATCAACAATTTATTCGATTATCTCCTCTCTGGCGTGTGGGCATTTCGAATTTGTTTTTCAACCTATTTTAACAGGGATTCTGTGATTCACCAGAGAGAAAATTCTATTTAAACTAGTAGGCAGAACGCACACTAAAAATACTGAATCTTTTACACATACTCCCAAATGTTGAAGCGAAATTTAATTTCGTTTGCCAGGGAATAAGAAATGTAAACACGTACTGTGTGAAAATGATCGAGGTAAAATAATGAATTTTGTTGAACAAAACTTAATATGCCACAATATAATTTTTATTTTAAGGTTCATTTGGGTATTACATTTTATGCAGCATTTACACAGCAAATGGCTTATAAATATTATAAAAATTATGTATTCTTAAATTTACATTCACCTTTGTAAGTGGAGCAAGTGTGATTCAAATCTGCGTAAGTCAATTTGTGACGAACATCCTTTGAATAAGTGACATTTTGAACATGAGACACACCTAAAGAGAAAAAAAATGTCCAATGAAATTCCACATAGGTAAGTTTGAAGCTACTCTGATTTACTGATGAACTGCCCACCGCCATAAAGAATAATCGAAATAAATGATTTGTAGTTAAAGATCACATATGGGTATTAAAGCAAGAAGCTGTACTTCTCATTTAAATGACTAGTACTTTTTCGTTTTCTTTCAAGAAGATAGCACAAGAAACTATTGAACGTCGTACAGACGATACCACAAATAAAATTGGTTGATTATATACCTCTTCTCTCGGATTATTTGTCTCTGATGTTATTTGCTATCAGGGGTAAAACCACGAGTGCTTAGGAAATTGTCGATAAATTCCTGACTCGCAAAGCGAGGAGGGATTTTATCTGAGAATTTCCAAAGCACGAGTGATATTTAATAGAACTATTCCACGAATGAATCAATGTCCAACAGAGTTCTAAAATGTACCAAATATCAATATTATATTAATATACATTATTTAATTACCTTTTATATTTCGTTATTTCTAGCATGGCCATCTGCTAATGTAGCAGATGGGCAAGATTACAAGAACGGTCGATACGTAATCAAAATTGAGATAAACAAATGAATATGCAGACGATGAAATGAAATGTATGTTTATTTAGCTTTAAAGTAACAAACTTTTGATTTTACAACCATTAACATTTAAAGTGACAAACATGAGAAAGCGCCAACCAAATCCACACATGTCCACTATTAACAAAAATTAATTAGTGGCTGTTTCATAAAATAGATGATGGTTCCTACAGCATTGTTAGGTTCATTTGTGGCCAATTAAATCATGTTACGTGAAAATTAATTGCTGAAATACAGAGTTTCAAAGCAAACAAGAACATGTCCACATGTGAATTTCAATCAAACATGTCCATTCAAGGAATAGGAGGGCTTATGTTTTGCCACATGACATACAAAAGACAAATGAATTTTTATTCTGCATTGTTGGAGCGAATACAAACAAACCAGTCTTTTACACCTGGACTGAAGAACTTGCAAGCAGGGGTGCAACAGAAGTTTCATCTGTACAATTAGTGTAATTACGTGTTTGTTTACCTTATTAGATCTGAAATCATCATATTAAATAGGCTAATGTATCTAAATGAGCCCATATTAATATTCAGAATGAAATTTCAATAATAGGTTATTAAGAAACACTTTTTTTCGCGATTTCCCATAAATGTTTAATGTGGACATGTATGGATTTAATTAACACCTTCTCATATATCCTTTCAGTTGAAAATACATTTATTAAACACGTACTTATTAAAATTAAATGTTGAAGGAACTTCATTATTTTCATCGACAATCGTGTTGGATTCTGAAACAGATGTGTTTGATGATGAATATGTGCCTTAATTTAAGATTACCGAATGATGTTGCTTACTGATTTTCAGGTAGGGCTTCAGTGCGGTAGAAGCATTGTCTCCTATGTTATTTCAGCAGTATAGTACACTATTACGGCTCTCACGTGCAACAAATCTTTATAAACGAGGTCACTAAAAAAAGAATTTCACGGAGCCGGGACGACTTGCACTTTGACTATAAAATATGAAGGATTTGTTTAAAAAACATATCTAAATATTCATCTCTAATATACTCTACTAATATACTTCTACTCTTCGCCATGTTTTCTAGAGCTTCAAAATATTTCATTAATTTGGTTGTCAGACGCGTCACCGAATTTCGCCAGGATATTACTATTGAAATAGCGATGTTAAAATAAGAGGTTATATTATACATACATGGTTTATTGCACACGGTTGATACATACCGCCTCCTATGATACACGAGTCGGAGCTTCTACTACCAGTAGGTAGTAGAGGTAAGAAAACGGGGATAGAAAATGCGATAAAGTTTTGGAGATACATCGCCCTGATATTATATGTACAGTTGGGGACATTATATGTACAGTTGAACACTGTTTTTTTTTTAATTTCATGAGTGGAATAAACGCAATTAATAACTATTATTCCCTGTAGTCGCACACCACCAAAATTCTCCGCAGCCGAGCGGGCGACGCATCGTATGTCAGCCAGGACGTCGGGTGCGCTGGCAGCGCCGCCGCCCCACGGCCAGCCCAGGCCGCCGAACAAAGGAACCCGGCCATGGAGCGCTGGAGGGGGAAGCGAGGCGAGAGGGGCAGAGGCGCCGTGCGGGTTGCATCGCGGCCACGGCAGGCGCGCCACGCGATACCATCGCCTTTTTGCTCTGCTGGCCGGCCGGCCGCCGCGCCCGTGTTACGCTCCCCGATGGCCCACGCCGGGCGAGGCGGGGGTGGGGGCCGGGAGCTAGGCACAAGTTCGATTCTTCATTTCACCAATACAAATAGAGGTCCGTACTTTTAAAGCTTTTGTAAAATGTTATTCAATTTCATATCCTTTGTACATTACACTAAGAAATGATACCAGTTTTTATTTTTTGATTGATTAGTGATTCCGGAAGCATCAACTGCCAAGATGATTAGCCCTGAAAGTGTAGTGTTTTTTGCTCGGGAGGTGTCAGTGATCTCCCTTCCTGGATGAAGAAATCCGTCGCCAACAGCTTGCGAGTATATCCCCAACCAGGTATCTCCCACCAGCGGGGCACCGCCCCAGCCGGGACACCGACCGATCTCCCGGCATATACAGTAGTGTAGTGTATGTAAGTGGACATGCGTGTATTAGTAAGAGAAAGGATTGGACAAGGAATAGGAAAGGAAGATCACGCCCCGTCCGTGACCCGTTTGTTAGGGTACTGCTCCAGCATTAGCCTTGAAAATCCAGGTTTTCGTATCCCTAAATGTTCTCGAAATCCACAAAAATGACATTTACGAATTACAATATATTAGCTTCTCAGCGTATGAAAATACATATTATTCGCGTTTTGCGTATATAGGTTTTTTTCTATGAAATTTCACTTAATTAAACTAACTTACATGAAAGATAATTAGCAGCATGTTTTACATAATATTAATTGTAGTCGAGCCATGACTACAATTACCAGCTTGCTTTGTTTTCTATTTTCTCCAGTAGTAAAAAAAGTACTGGAGGTGGGGTAGAAGCGCTGGAGTAATATTCTTCAATCATATTATGAAACAAGCTAACCCTTCAGTCCCAAAGCTGCCACTTTTGGGGCCTGAGATTATATCTTATCAATTTGAAGACTGTATGTTTGTCTTGCTGAACCATGAACCTTTCTCCGTTATTGCTTTTTCTAGAGAGTATTATGAATCTAGTGTTAAATACAGATGGATATTGAAGTACATCAGAAATTTACTTCTATAAGTGTTAAATAAATGTTGCAATCTTCTAGAGAATGTAGTGATGAAAATTATAATTTTCTAGCCAATGTACATGTAGTGAGAAATTCCACATAACGAAGTTACATTGACACTTGTCACGCAACTTATTATGCACAGACGTTTGGTTGGACACGTTCTGTCTCACTCGAATATTTCGTGTACCTGTCGAACACCAATGATTGACGAGTTACGAATCAGTCAGGGGAAAATGACACATGATACATGGAATTTCCCACCATATGTTCGTAGGCTAAAAGTAATCAGTTTCAACCCCTCTACATCACGTAAATGCAACATTTAACCAGAGATATTCTTTAAAGATATTCGAGCGTGCATTACGCGGGCAATGACTGCACTGTGTTTCAATGCGTCAACCATCTATTAGCTAGGATGAATTCCGAGTAGGTTCTTCTACATGACACGCGATGCAAAATCACAGGGAAGACCGCTCTGACGCGCGCGTTAAGTCGCGCAAGCGGCACTCGCCATTCACAAGAAACTGCGGTGGCGGTCGCGGAGGCGGGGTGGGGGTGGGTGGAAGCGTGGGCCGGAGGCGGGTGGGGGGCGGGGCGGGGAGGCGACGTCACGCCCGGACGGGAGGGCGGAGTCGTGTATTACGCGTGCCGCTGGGCGGCGGCGGGGCGGCGGCTGCCTGTAGCGGTCAACCAGTGGTTCCGCGGGGCCGGCGGCAGTAGAAGCGGGCAGGGGGCGGGGGCGCGGGCGGGGCGGGTAGGGGCAGCGAGGGGCGGTGGCCTGAGTACGTGCGTGGTGGCAACAGACAGCGCGGAGGTAAAAGAAGTGCGCCTGGCAGTTTCAAGAAGAAGCGACAGCCGTTCCTTTCCAAACTTCCGAGGGCCGTGGAGGGATGAGAAAGGCCGAGAACTTTTCCCGTCGGTGAAGGACGGTCGTCTGGTGAAGGAGGTACGTCTGGTGAAGGAGGTCCGTCTGGTGAAGGAGGTACGTCTGGTGAAGGAGGTACGTCTGGTGGAAGGAAGGTACGTCTGGTGAAGGAGGTACGTCCTGTGTGAAGGAGGTTACGTCTGGTGAGGAGGTAACTCTGGTGAGGAGGTACGTCTGTGTGAAGGAAGGTACGTCTGGTGAAGGAGGTACGTCTGGGTGAAGGAGGTACGTCCTGGGTGAAGGAGGTACGTCTGGTGGAAGGAGGTACGTCTGGTGAAGGAGGTACGTCTGGTGAAGATGAAGGACATGGCAGCAAAGTCCACAGCGCGGAAGCAACGGAGGCGGTGGGCCACAGGGCTTGTGGCGGCAGCAGGAAAGAAGGCAAGGGGGCGCTGCAGAGGCCGAACCGGTGAGCGCGTTCGCCGCCGGCCGTCGTTGTTTACGGTGGTAGCGGATGCGGCAGAAGGAGGCAGCAACAGCGAGGAAACCTGCTACGAGAGAATTGATAGGAAGGAGGGCGCAAGCGAACGAGTCGGCGTGCGAACGGCGAAGGCGGCGGCGGCAGCGCGTGCAGACTGCGCGGCAGCTGACTGTGGGGGCAGCGATGGGGGGCGGGGCGGGGGACGGGGAGGGTGGGTCTGGGCGGAGAAGGGGAGGGGCGGGGAAGCGCCGGAGGGGACGGCGAAGGGCGGAAGGGGACGGCGAAGGGGGAAGGGGACGGCGAAGGGCGGAGGGACGGCGAAGGGCGGAGGGGCCGCGAGGGCGGAGGGACGGCGAAGACGGAGGGGACGGCGAAGGGCGGTGCGGAGAATGGCGGGAAAGAGCGGGGCGGGGGGACGGGAGGGACGGGGAGGGACGGAGAGGGTGGGCGGAGGGTGTGGGGCGGGACGTGGAGAGGGGGGGGGGGCGGGGGCGAGAGAGGGGCCGGGGCGGAGAGGGGGGCGGGGTAGGGCGGGCGAGAGAAGGGGCGGGGCGGAGAGGGGGGCGGGGTAGGGCGGGACGGAGAAGGGCGGGGCAGGGCGGGGCAGGGCGGGGAGGGGCGGGGCGGGGCGGGAAGGGCTGGGGAAGAGGCGGGGAAGAAACGGAAAGGGCCCGGAGCGGGCGTGATTTGTGCTGGCTGCTTGAGGTAGCGCGCGGGACCCTCCAGCTGCGGGCGGCGCTTCGGCGGAAACAATTTGCACGCCGACGGCCTGGCATCGCGCAGGACGGGCGATGTGGTGGCATGGCCACGTAATAATCCGCCGCACCGGCGCGCTCGTGCCGCGCCACGGAAGCCTTAGGACACGGGTGCTTGCGACGGGAGGTGGATTTGAGTATGAGAAACACGTATCTACAACTTCCCACAACCTTAGAATCAGTGGGACTGGACGTGTTTGAATAAAAAGGGAAATGTACTATGTAATAATAATATTTATGATACTAGAAACATATTTCCACAATACATTTTCCCTAATGTTTCCACACAAAATCCGACAATGTATTAATGCCAAAAGCGGTCGCCGCCGCCAGAGGTATTGGCTGGGAGAACACTGAATACATGCCAAGCGCCCCAACGGCCTTTGGATGGTACCCACATTTTTATGTAACATTTAGGAAAATGCTTTTTATGGCATTTTGTATTATTTTTCTTTCCATTGGATAGGAATACCTTGAATAATAATTTATTAATCATATCATTAATCCATAATGAGCTTAAACATCACTTATAGAATACTTCACGACAGAGAAAGCTTCAGAATAAACAGACTGCAAACCGGTTGATTTGGCTCAAGGAAGCTTTAATGTTGTCTGTGCAATGACTAACGGAAAGGTTCCGCTACGGTTCGAGTCCTGATGGTGGTGGATTTTTATACTAGCCCAAATAGGTAGGTCGCAATTCCACCACTGCTTGGCGAGTTCTAGCAGACGGCTGGGGCTCTGATCGGCAGTTTTCCGTGATTACTACCGAGCAGTGCTCTAAACAAATGGGTCACGGCACCTCATGGGATTTTTCCTTCCTCTTCTCTTGTTCTATCATCACCCTTTTACTTAGCTTCGAGCATACAGTTTGCATTACACGCTCTATTCATTAATACAACTGCGCATATGTCGGGAGTTTATCGCTTGTCCGGCGACTGAGGACTGAGCCCCCCCCCCCCCGCGTGGGAGATACTTGGTTGGTGAAACTTTCCGTACATGGGCGCGGGATGTACCAGGTGAATGCTGGAGTAACACCTAATAATATGGTGGAGAGCTAATCTAAGGTGGGGAGCAAATCTAAATGCTTAAAGAGCTAACTTTAAAAATCCACATTGTGTTTATATTGTAAAAAACAAACTGTGTAACTGGTGAATTTTATGTATATTGTATATATGTGCGCATGTTTTACAAGGTGTAAGCTAATATATGGTTCTTCATTTAATGTAGGCATGTATAATAGCGTAGGGCAAGTGAGTGTGTGTTCGTGTAAATGTGTAAAGCGTGAGAGTGAGCATTCATGTTATAGGAAATGTGTTTGTTTGTATGTATGTCATGTATGTATGTATGTATGTATGTTATGTCATGTATGTATGTATTGTTATGGTATGCATGCATGCATGCAATGCATTGTGTGTGTATATAGTGTGTTTGTGGTGTATGGGTGTATAGATGTATACAGGTCTGTGCCATAGATGTATACAGGTCTGTGTCTTTATATATTTTGAGTGTATAATGTCTCGGAAAGAAGTGTATTGGTTAAATTGTTTTTATATGGTACATTGTTTTTTGTATTATAAAGTGTTCATATATTGTAAAAACTGTAGGGTTGTGGCTACCACCGTTGGAATCAGCCCATTGTAGCCAAATAAATATTATTATTATTATAGACCAATCATGAACGCCAAGCGCGATCTTTATTTACTTTACGCATGCCTTAATGCATCAAGCCCTTCCTCTCACACATTTAACACCTTACATGCACTACACTTCCCGCAAATGTCGGGAGCTCAGAAGCTTAGTATAATATAGAATCTTCGTTCTTTTAACTATGTGAAGAAATGATTTTTGTATTCCATTGTTTTATTTTCTTTTTTAATACGAAAGCACATTTTCATAATTATACTCATCTATGAAAATTTCATATAGGAAATTGTTTCGAACGGCGATCACAACATTTTGCTAAAACAAACATTATTATGTTATGAATAATTAGTATTTTTTTTATGAGTCAATACTACAAAAAATTGTAATAAATAGTGAACCAGATGGCGTTCCGCAGTTTACAAAAATGCAGATTTAGTATTTGATGTCCTTGATGACTATATCAGATATTTATGGTAAATGAAAATGATCGTAGTTAATACGTAGGATAGGACAGACAACACTTTTAATGATTTTTTGAAATAAAATTGGATCAAAACTGAAATTTGGTCGAATCCCACTACCTCTTGTACTAACAGCGCTGATTCGAGCGATTGGTCGTACATATTCTGACCTCAATGAGAAATTAAATACAAAGCTCTGGGGTGTTAGAATGTTTTGTTTCTTCAGGGTTTGCATTTTAATTTTGCTTTCCTTCCCCCAACCGACAAGCGACAAAGCAAAACACGAATACGAATTAAATTGGGAAAGAGTCAGTCGTTTAAACAATGTCCTACGGGAAACGCAGTATAGTAAATACGTATGGGCTACTTGTTGGTTTCATTAGAGGTGGAAATTTCTACTGAATGTAAACTCCATGTATCAGGTATTAATAACTCGTAAGAGTTTGTGACACATTGTTGCGTTTTGTAATATACTTCATTTTCGTGATGTAATAACTAAATTGCGTAGAGCTTTCCAGCCCAATTCTAAGTGAGAATTTTCTCGTCTGAAGAAGCTTTCCATGCAGCTTTTGTTTTATTTTGTAGTTTTCATTAACAGCTTAAATTGTTTTAGAGAAGCTTTGGGTTGGTTACTTTAAACTTAAATTATTAACCGCGTAGCAAATCTTTCTCATCAAAAACACAAAGTACATATTTCTTGTACGCTCATTAATTGTTTATCGATAATCCATTAGAATAGTGCTCATATACTATGAAAGGGAGTGTTACAGATCGACATACAAAATTTTTCATTTTTTTTGGTTAGATTAGTTTTTCAATTTAACCTTAGCCTTTTTATGTATATATATTTCCAACAACTTATTTTACAACAATCATTGCAGTAACCATGCAGAATCTCAAAATGTCCAGACAATAAAAAATTCTGAAAAATAACAATGTTTTATTACGAAAAACACGGAACAGTTTGAATGAGTTAACAAATTGAAATATAGAGCCAAAGCAATGGAGAAAACTATTTGAAGTACTACCAGTGAAAAACGTACATATTCCACAGTAATGGGATGTTAGCAAATGCCCTTGATGATGCTCTTTAGCACATCTTGTGCTATTACAACTTTATTAGTATCTGAAGCTCGAAACAACATACTTCAGGAGCGTAGATCAATGAATGAATGAGGGACTCCTGAATGCTATCCGGATAATTGTCTCAACGGATATTACTGATCTTTTGATAGAAAAAATCTTAGGTGATGACAAGTTTTGCCCTCTGTTAGTCAGAGTTATCAAGATTAGTTTTTGTTTCATTGGAACTAACAAAGCCATTTGATTGCCTACAGAACTAACAAAAACAACTACGCATTTAATCAACAGCGTTGGTCCATGAACAGATCATTTCCGGTGTCCTCTACATTTCATTTTGATATGACTCTCTTTGCAACACAACCCCAATCTTAACAACGTGAGCACTTCGCAGTCCCCCCGACAATTTCTCCGTGAAGCAAATTTGGAAATGTGCCACGACTGAGTCCCTCCTAGGGTTCATTCTTCTCACAAAACCTTGTTTTGAACGTCATCAGAGCCTGTGTGTGAGGCGGCGCTGCGAAACTGATTTTTCCAGCTATTTAGTGCAATAAGACTGCTTTTAGCGTGTGGTTTTCATTCTCAGGAGGCAGCGGTAATTTAAAAACACAATTATCGTTGGGGGCTTTGGTCCACTTATTCCAGAGGAGGCCATTCGCTTACTTAAGAATGAAAAGGAAAGCTATCTGTCTGCAATGTAGATTGAATTCATTTTAGGAAAACAATTAATTTATCTTACATTTATTTTAAAACGTACGGATTTTTTATCTCACGCACCTATAGTTGTGACGTAAGCCCCGTACTGTGTTCGACGAACACAGTCGCAGGTAAAACTTTTTTAAACATGTGTACCGTATAGCTGTCTCACTCCGCTCCGAAACTTTGATTGATTCACCATAGACGTTTTCGGCAAAAGTATCTGTGAAACAATGTTGACAACTTATTGCCTAGCTAAGTAGGTAAAAAGTAGTGGGAGAAGGTTGATATCGCATTTCATGAGCGATTTGTGCTTACCTTGTAGGAGAGGGTAGAGGCAGCGGTTCTTGAGCAGGAGACAACGCTTTGTTCCACACCTGCTTGTTGGCCTCGCGACCCACACGTGGCTGAAGATGGGCGTGCAGGTCCGCGTTGTTCAAGTAGCAGGGGTCTGGCGGCACAAGGAAGAACATGTCACGTGAAGGCTAAGGAGCGCACTTGCGCCCATTCACAAAAGCAAGCTCGAACGGGCGCAAAAAACAGCCCGGTTTCTAAATAAACCAGGATTGAAGAATTTCATTAGCTTTTTGATTATGATGATGATGATTGACACAATTCGCGTGACATTTGAAGGTAGCCCAGTTTTTTCATGAGATAAAGATTCCAGTTCAATGTTGTGTTGGTGAGAAACCCTATATATATATATTAATTATATATATATATAATATTTTATATAAAAATAATTAATATAAAAATATATATATATATATATTATACTATATATTAGAACACCCTCACCTAGCACACCTAGCCACACAAATGAACAGGATTGTTATTGACCATAATTACAATCACAAATTCTCACGAGAAGCATATTAATTAGGTGTATGAGGAAACCTTGACAGAAAGTAATATGTCGTATTATAATATGAAATTAACGATAATATGCTGTATACGCAGATAAACGATTTCTTGTAGATAAACAATCGAATATTTCTGTAGTAAAAATAAACGAGTAAATAATATTAATTTCTGCAAGTCATTGTGACGAGCTGGAGCGGGTAGAAAATTGCGCACAGCTATGCACGTCGAAACGTGGGCAATTGCGTAATAGGGATCTACGCTAAAGGAAGTCGATTCAAAAACATTATCTTCATGATTTTGTTAACGGCATACGTATAAAATGGGGGTCGAAATTGAGAAAACCTAAAAAAAAAAAATCCGACACCTCATGGCTGCTCAATTGAATGGTGGCGTTTTAGTAGCGATTATGGAAATTTTCTTTGTAAAATTTTTCCTTCCACGTTTATAGCGACTGGACCATTCTATTGCATTTTTATTTCTTTGACTATCTTGCCTTATCGGGCGGTCAACAACATTATTTTCTTGAAATAGGCTGCCATGCTTGCACTAACTGAAAGCTGGGAAGATGATGCGTAAGTGCATGTTTACATCAGTTTACACCTTGCGCTTGCATCGGCCAAGCCACCAAAATGTATTTTTTTTGTTAATTATCGACTCACTAGGAAGCTTTCCCATGTGTTTTTCATCTACATTTTCTCTTTTATTTAAAAAATCAACTGACTGAAATGACTCAGACAAAAGCTGTTGCAGCAATCTCTGGTCCTTATGAATCGAGGCAGCAGGCGTTTGCGTTTTTCCAGCACTAGTTTAGCAACTAGGTGGAACTTCAGGCCACTACAACTCTGGTGGACGGCTACTTCGTACTTTCAATGGTTTCTCCGACAATAACGGGTGAATTCCCATAGTGATGCCTAACAAAATGGCACAACCCGCACGCGACCTGTTTTCCTTCCTCATCGTTGTCTCATCTCTCCCCATTTATCTTTTTTGATGAACTAACAACTTCCACACGTTGTAAGGAGGATCAGCAGGGAGGATTGGCGGCGTTGACGGTGGCTGGGGGCGCTGCCCCCGTTGGGAGATTCTGGAACCGCCTGAGAAAAATCCCGCAAGCGAAGTGGTAGGTTGGAGTCTGATCTCATTTTCCGGCATATCAACATTGCACAAACACAACCTGGGGACAACGTGACCAACGTAGCCATATGGCTCGCGCCCGGAAACCACCGCAACATTCACCCTCAGCGCCTCCTTGCTCAGTCCTTTCACTCGCTCTCATCTCACAGCTCCCCCTTTACATTCTGAACAATTACCTATGCATCACGCACAGTGGCACGAGTAAATGGCCTCCCTGGAGCGCAGACGGCCGTGGACAGCCCTTGGCTGCGCGGAGGCGCTTCCAAGGGCTTGTTAGGCGCCGCCTCCAACGCCTCCGCGCCCTTACGTGTCCCGCCCACGACGCCTGAAGCACACGTGGCGCGAGTGCGCGGGGCGCTAGCGCAGAAGTGGCCGTCCACGCAGCGGCCAGCCGCCCTGGGACCTCTCCCGTAAGTGGGCAGCGGCGGCTCGAGGGCGTTTTCCCTTAAAGAAATGGTCCCCCTTGTTACGAGATTTTCAAACACTGCAGCGACGGGCGACGTATGACGTACACTGGCGCGAAGCGACGGAGGAAAAAATAGGCTAGAGGAACAGAAGATCGAGAGAAACACCCTGAGGTGAATAACTACGAAAGAAACATGAATATCATAGATATTTTAACTTAAAGGGCCGCGGCCAATTCTTTTTCTAATAAACGGCTGTGTATCCTTTAATATACTTTTACCTTATACGCTTCTTATTGGAATACAAATTAAGTACCATTTTTTTAAAAGAAAAGGTACTCGCACCCCATCTTTACTACACCGTACCTTGTTTGGATAGTCCATAACGGACAGGCGGATTCTGAAAATCCGCTTTACGGACGTCAACGCTTTCAGAAGTGGGGGGTTTTTTCGGCTCCTCTGAACTGCTTTTGTTCTTATGGTCACACATATTAAAGCACAGTATTACAAAAAATAATGACACGAGGTCAATTTTTGGTAGGGTCTTATGGATAATAATAGGTTCTTCCCATAAGAAAGTGGAAGGGAAGGAATAAGCAATACAAATCATGCTTACGTCACACCAGAGATTCCCAGATAAAGGACGAAATGAAGACAGCGGTAGGGGGAATATGTAATCGAAGTTCTCAGAAAGAGAGGCAATACAGAGTAATGTCGGGGAACGAGAATTCTAGCTTAATAGGCATAAAGCGTCGAGTAGCATAGCATTACATTCACGAAGCTCGTTCTGACAAAGAATATACACTTGTTGATACATTGTATAGCAGTGGCATGTTTGTTAACACGGGCAGTTTTCATTAAGTGACACCCGCGAGTCCTACGGTTCCCCACCAAGGAGAGAACCGCAGATCGAATTTGAATCTCACATTCGCGCCATGGATTTTGGCAGATCGCCTGCCCACCATGCCAGATCCCTCTCAGTGATGATTAACTCGCATTTCGACGAGTTGATTACTTGATATTATCAAAGCAGTGTAGCAATATGAGGCGCTCGTCACCTATCCTGATACAGTCTGGTGCATCTAACTTCTTCGAAGCATTCTTTTATCTTTTTTGATCGTACATCGTGTCTGTTTATGAAGTTTACCACTCCAGCCATCAGTTCAAAGTGATATTGGACGCGACATTTAATTCGCAGCACATTCAATTTTCACATTTGACATCCATGCGTGGTACTACCTGCATTTCAAACTTACGAATCCAAAACTTGGAGTAATACCGGGACGGTAAACCTTGGCCACGTAGTGTGAAGTGAGTAAAATGAGAGTAAAACATACACCACGAGAAATTAGGAAACTATGACAACCATATTCAGGGAAAATGCACGTCAGAGGACTTGGAAACAAATTGTAATGCAATCTTGTAATACACCATCAAAGCAATTGCTCAATAGTCGATAAGACGAATTTCTTGTAACAGCAATTTTTCATCGCAGTACCCTCTATACAGTAATGTCGAATATTTAAAACTGTAAATTCTCGTAAATACTAAAATAGAAACTTCATAACTTTTCATATCGCCGGTTCATTTTTATTGACATAGAGGCTATATTGTATTGGTTGCTAGACAACAGGGCAGACGGTAAGCAATGGTCACAGACATTCCTCCTACCATACACTAAGTCAACTTTCTGGTCTTACACTGCGGGATGGTAAGTGGGTGGGACGGGGCTGGGAGAGCCCCATAAGATGGCATGCGGTAGACGTACAGACGGACAGAGTGGGGGGCCACATGCAAAGCACACGTCCATCTCCATGGCGTGGGCGGGGAGGGGAAAGGAGGCCTTGCTTCCTTCCCGGCCACTGCGCCTCTTTAACCCTTCTGAAGGCATCGCACAGCGGGATACAACACGATTGCACAATTCACTGCACTCATCTTTTCCGCAGGCAGGAGCGGATACGCCGATTCATTTGGAGGGGGCCATCGTAGAGTTTTGTTAAAATAATAAACCTTTGTTTCCATGTTATTATATTCATTTTTTGTAGTGTACATATAATATACTTTTCTATATTATTTCTTTTTAAATAATTAAATAATTTTATTATTAATAAATACTTTATCAATTTTGCTATAAAAGAAGGTAACAAACGAAAACTCCTTGGAGGGGGCCGTGGCGCGCCATGGCCCACCCTGGATCCGCACTGTTGTCTAGTGGTGCCACCGTGGAAAAGCTGACGGGGTGGCCACATGCACCCCTGTGCGGAAAAATGGTAGAACGGGGCTATTTAATAAGTAACCGCATTAAAATATCACAATTCCAAGAAGTTTTTATTTTCATCGTTCTGTTATAAAATAATCCAACTAATGGATATGTGCCATCTTGCATCGTTTACCAGCTGCGCAAGAAAATTTTCGTATTGGACTTTCAATACATTTCTTACGCGATCATAACACGTAACAGGAGTGCACTCCAACAACGGTAATAGAACGTCCCAAAGGTCTCGTCCTATGCGCACACAAGAAAAACTCCCATTCTCCCTTTTGGGAGACAGAAAACTGGTCTATTGCGCCTAAGGACACATCGGCTTTGAGAGTTACGCGGGCGCGAGGGGAACGTGCCCATGCAACGTACCAATGAACTGTGGGTTTCGGGTGAGCCTGCTGTTTTCCTGGTCACATTCTGCGAATTTTTCTGCCGTCTCAGATCTGTTACTACTACTACTACTACAGTAACGGTCCACATAACCCGCAACAGGAAGAGCACACTCGGAGCTTCGAATCATCAGAGTTTCTATAAAACTGGTTATCGTATCGTATGGCTTTCCCGTACGCGTGTAACTGTCTGTATGCTATAAGATATGATATATATTGATCGATTAGTGATTCCGGGAGCGTCAACTGCCAGGTTTTTAGTCTCGGAAGGTGTAAGATCATGGTGTTTTCCCCTCGGAAGGTTTAGTCATCTTCCGCGCTTTAGATGGGCCGACATCCGGCGCCATATGTTACGGAAAGTTTCACCAACCAGTATCTTCCCACCGGAGGGGGGGGGGGGGCTCACCGCGCTAGCTCCGAGACAAGTGTGACCTCAGGATACTCACCGCGACACACAGACATGATGAGCTTTCGTATGACAATATATTATTAACAAAGAAAACAAAACAAATATATACAACTAATAATCTACTTACACCCTAGCTTGATAGACCTACTATCCTCGCTGATCGCGGGAGCGATTCAAACCCCGAATTGAAGATGGTTTTTGATTGTGGCATTCGCCACTCCTACTTTTGAAGCGCGCACAAAGCTAGCTTCCGTGAGCGGATGTGCACGCTGGACACAAAAGTCGTTCTGGCGCCCAACGGCTGGTTTGCCTCGATCGCAGGAAGGCGAATCTTATCCGGATTGAGAATCGGCGTGAAATCGTGCACTTCAACGCACTTTGCCACCTCGAGCACGTCACCGCAAGCATCGCTCCCGAGCGCAGTCACCCCAAGGACCCATAAAGTCCGCAGGC